ACCCCCACAGTGAAGTTGGTTTACGTTGAAAAATCAGAAAAATTGGCTTGTGTTGCACAGTTGCTATGCAGACTCAGAATGAGCAGGTTTGACATCTAGTCCGGTGATGGTGAGGAATCTCGAAGTAGGAGGGACCTGGCTGCGTGTGGCATCGTTCACAAGGGGAAGAAAATCTGAATCTTACTGTGCTGTGTCAGTGTACTGTAGTACATTAATATCACTGTAACTTAAGTGCACTAGGAGTCTGTAGATTGTATATGAGAGTATTCAACTCAAACATGACTAGTTCAAGAAATGATCCCGATTTAACTAATGCTAATTAAGTCCATGATGTCCTGCAGTAATGAGAATTTATTTAGCAAACGGTTTGCAGAATCAACCTGCGGTTTTACAGAAGTGAGGACTCTGACAGATCTCTCTTTTCCATGTCAGTGATTTCTGGGAAAGCAATTGATTATATAGACTGGCAATATGCAATTTTAACCCATTTACGCTGGATTAAAGACAATGTTTTATGTGCTTTAATCACTGCACAGTGACAGTTGCTGCAACAGATAAGCTAACCTCCTTCTTCCTTTTTCTAGGTTGTGATATGTATTTCCATGCACCGTTTTCTTTTTTCTTTCTTTGCTTTCTAAAGAACTCCTGTCCTGTCAGGTTCATATTTATTAGTTTTCTGGCAAATACTGTTCTCAATCAGAAGATTATAATTTCAAAGAAATGAAAGGGGATATCTGTTGGCAATTTTCTTGAGATTTGAATCCATTGTCTACAATTGTCTCCCTAAGCCAGCATGGAAAGCACACAGTGGTAAATGAACAAAGTGAAAGTCCATATGGCGACCAGAAAATGCGCTTTAGGGCAAATGTGTGAGTCATCTACACGTCTGCTTGTGCCTTCTGGTTCTGCTCCTGTATGTGAAAAATCAGTGGGACTCGCCCCCTCTTCCTGGCTGTGGTCTGATGTTACTACTGCAGAAGTCAGGATTTGTAAGAGTACTTCCGTCAACTCACTTGTGGTGAGGCCTTCTGCAAGTTGGTCTTCTCATACTGGTTTGCTTTTTAGGATCAGCTCCATTAAAAGCCTTTTGTTTTTTTTTTTTAATACCTAAGGTAAAGCAGAGAGCTGGCATGGGGAAGGAAAAAGAGTATTTTTTTCTTGCTTTACTTGGTGTCTGAAAGTGTAGGGA